AGGGTATATGTTGAACAATGTTTTGCGCAGCCTCCAGGCTATACAAAACACTTTTATGAAAATAATATTCAAAAAACATAAACTATTCTCGAGTGAATAACTATACAGATAACACTCGTGTTGATATTGTCACACCTGGTATACCAAGAGAATAGTTCATTCAATTCATTAGAAAATCTATATCAAAGAAAATATCCTCAGTAGATAATGATCAAATAATAATAATTGAAGTTATTCACCTATGTGATTCGAACCCAGCTCATACTTCACAGACTGAAACTAGGTGAGCTTTTTCGGCGGAATTCACCTATAAAACGATATGCGGTAGTTTTTTTGGGATAACCACCCTCGTAGAGTAACGGTCATCAACGCTAGCAGTCTTTAGCCATGGTACCAAAGAGACGCATCTCCTCGTTTGCCGGAGCAGCGATTATTAGGGCTTTGTAAGTACACATTTTTTATTGTATATATAAAACTGTTTTGGTTCCTTGTACGGCCCTCGTAATTATCTTCAGCCACTGTGATAATAAGAACCAGAGATTTAGGATTTCACATGGTCACCCTTGTTTATTCACTTCACTTTTTTCTGTTGCTCACTGTGTTCACTGTTTTTAATCACTTGATAAACTCCAATTCTTGTTAAACACGACATGCTTTTTTTTGCTACAGTCGCGCGCTACGGTGTGTAGTAGTTAGGTTTCAGCTTGATGTGTGCACAGACTTTTGCTGACTATTAACTCTGAGAGTAGAATAAGTAGCCCGTCTATATCAGTACAAGCATATGATATTTTATGAATCTTTCGCAATACCTCAATCCCCTAATTTACATCTACCATAGGAAGAAAGGAAAAAAATACTGATAAAAATACAGTGAACATAGTGAGCAACAAAAAGAAGTTTTAAGTCAAAAAAATGTTGAGTGAACTGAATGAACTAGAAATACCATGTGACTACACCTTTTAGTGCAATCCTACATCTCTGGATCTAACTATCAAAGTGGCTAGAGATGATTTAGAGGGCCGTACAAGGTAACAAAACAGTTTTTATATACAAGAGAATATGTGTACTCTACAATGCCCAAATAATCGCTGCTCCGGCAGAGATGTGTCTCTCTGGTACTATGGCTTAGGGCTACTAGCGTGCACAACCGTTACCTAACGAGGGTGGTTATCCCAAACAAACTAGGGTACTCACGAAGTATCGACCGACTATCGACTGTCGTACTTTCTGTGTCGAAAAATCAATTATCATATTGTTTTATAGCCGAGTTAGCAGAATCAGCAATAATCGTATCGAGTTCGTTACATCACAGCTGAACTGTAAAGTTAAATGAATTTGCTCAAGAAGCTCACCTAATTCCAGTCTGTGAAATATGAGCTGGGTTCGAATTACATATGTCAATGACTTTCCTGATGAATTGAGTGAAATATTCCTTTGGTATACCAGGTGTGACAATTCACAAGGTGTGTCACTTCAAACGGTTCACCTCTTCTATCTCAACTATTTGTCGAGCGACTCAGAAAACTTGGACCGGCATGGATGATCATTAATATGATCATTTCTTCATAGTGGAACATCATTCGGAACAGTGCCATTCATTTTTATTGAAATGAAAATGGAGAAATATTCAAATAAAATCATATAAGGCACTTTTTTCACAGGACAACTGACCTCATAATACTTCTCTTCATGCTTTGACGCTTCCATATAGGAATTTTCGTATAATTTCTTTGAAGGGTTGAAAACGAACAGGCACTTCTATACAGCATTTTTGCATAATAAATAATCATTTACCCGGAACGAGTATATCTTGTTTTTTTTTTCAAATCATAATTTTCTATCTACTGGATCTATGGAGCTATTGAACGTTCCAAAATTTGTAGTCGATTCGAATTCACTATTTTTTAGGGCAGGGAGTGAGAAAGAAGTCAGTCCTATTAATTCATAATGGGGTGATTTTTGCGTGTGGAGGTTTGAGAGCATGAGGAACAATAAAATGAAGTTAGCATTCCTGTGAGAATTCCTAATATAGTTTCACAAAAAATCGACCCTATTTATTCCAATCAGAACGCATGGCACTGACCAGAAGGATGTTTGCCTCTCTGGTTATTGATAGGGGACCAAATTTGGTACGAACAGCAGGTCTAAAAGCTATGAAAATATGAGCTGGGTTCGAATTACATTATTATGTGAATCACTTCAATCATTATCTACAGGGGACCTGCAATGAGTTGACTCAATTCCAAAATTAATTCACGCCAATGTCGTTTTCTGACACTCTTCTCGAATTTTTCAATCCTCGGTTGATCGTAATAGTGAATTATTTGAGGAGATGATTCATTCTGCAGTGATAGGATTACAGAACATGCCGATGAAGAAGAGCAATCGACCAGCCTTGACATATTTTTGGTACCTATACATATTTCTTTATATATATTATGAACTTTGAAATTATGTGAGTGGAAACGATGAGGAAAATATTTTGTCTTTATTTTTGATATCGAATCTGATGAACCAGTTCAAATCTTTCGCGACACTCCTGAAATATACACTAGGACGTATGTTAGTGATCGTATGATACAAATCATATTGATTGGTGTCAGCCTTCACAGAAACAGAATGAAATGTTTCAGATATGAGAAATAACCAGAATACGTATTTGGACAGCTGAGTTGCCATACTAAATAGACCTAAAAAGGAATGGAGATTAAATGACTCTAGTAGTATTTAGGATATCATCCAGAAATCACTAGCGAGAATCAAGGCTGTAATCCTCAAGTTGTTATGATTCGATGAAAAAATTCGTTCATATTTAAAAAAACATTTTTCTCATCACCTGAGATAATAATGAATAATGTATGTATGTATGTAATGTATGTATGTATTTTCGAAAATGATGAAAGTGAACTACTAAACATTTGTGGATATCCTTCTTTGTGAAGAATCAGCCCTTATAGCACACAACGTCCTAGGGACGTCCCTATTCGGTACAATTCACGTCCGAATGTCCCGAACCAAAAATAAGTGTCCTTGGGACGTCCCATCCCGTACATCTCATGCAATGTCCGAGCAAGGACGTCTACAGACTGTCCCAGCTGATACATCATTTCAAATGTCCTAGGAATAGCATCCCTTAGACGTTCCACGTGGTACATATTGTAGAATGTCCATGCAAGGACGTCCTTGGCATGTCCCTGATGGGATGTGATTTTGAACATTCCTTCAGGGACATCCATCGGACGTCCCGAGTAGTACATATTCTGGCATGACTTCAGATCTTATATAATGTCCTTTCTAGACAACCATGGAATGTCCCTGATGGTACATTCCTTCAAATATCTCTGCACAGACGCCCTTAATATTTCCAGGATCGTATAACAATCGAAATGTCCTTTAGGGACATCTTTTGAATGTTCCTCAGGGATATACGTCGGATGTCCCAATTGGTACATGAACTGTATTCTTCCAATGTCCTAGAAAAAACGTCCTATGGACGTCCTAGTCGGTACTTTCAATATGTTGTCCCTACGAGGACGTCAACTTACTCCTTGCCGACGAATGATTGCTCGTAAGCTATAAGTACTCCTCGTCAATGTCCTCCACGTAAGTCCATTGGACATCCTTGGGACACTTTTTGGGGACCTTCTACGGATTATCAACTCAACTGGATGTCCTAATCAGTTATACAAGATCTGGTCCTAGAAGGACCCAGGAAAATTCAAATACAAGAATAATTCGTACGTCCCTGGGACATCGTATGGACATCCAATCGATATCCCTCAGCGTTGCTGATAAATTGATGAGGAATACTGTAGGATTTATATGTAGGATCATATTCGATAGTTGTCCCAGGGACATCCCTCAAGGACGTCCCTAGTTGGTACTCAAGTGGGACATTTGTGCGTCCCACAGACGTCCAATGGACGTTCACGGTACCAAAATCGAACGTCCTTAGGACGTCCTGAATGTCCCGACAGGACGTCCTAAGGATATCCATGGGACAAAAGTGTGTTATTAGGGAGACAATGATATTTCTCTGTATGGAACAATTCCGTGAAGAATGAGTCTCCTTGCGGCATTCAATTTCCACATAGTTTTTCTATGGTTCAAAATTGAGTGAATAAGTAGGTAAACTCCTCCGGGAGAATTCACTACATATATGTATATATACATACAGTATGATGCAAATGTATGGAATAAATTCATTTCAAAACAAGACGACTTTCGAAAAAAATCCAAAAAGTAGAGTTCAGAACTTCTTTTTCGATGTATTTTTTCAACTAGACGACCCTTCGATGTTCAATCCTCAGTAGAAGATCTCTGCAAGATTCAGTTAACCAAATGATGATCCATCTTAATTTCAATCTTCTTTTGCAAAATTTTGACTATTGGATAGACGATCAGTAGTCCTTTCAAACGAGGTGTCACATGACCTCTATTTGTATTTAAAAAAAAACCGTCCATTACGTCGTCATTACTCCAACACCAGTGACGTAACATCTCTCATATGAATGTCATGAGATGAGGTTTCAAAAATTAAAACCCTCCTTTTTTTTTTGAATTTCTTCAAATGTCGCCCATTCCTGGAATGATAAATTTATTCCATACATTTGCATCAAACTGTATATGGAAGGGAAGTCGTTGCTGACTAGTAAAAATAAAACCAGTGTATATTGGTGGTAACAGCAGTGTGAAAGGAATACTCTTCGAAGTTTATCCAAGCTTTCGGAAATGTTCATTTTCATCACCAGGAATAATCTTTAGTGAGGTTGGTTACAACGTTGTTCGATATATAAGATTGTATAACATCGTATTAGTGAGCTCTGTCTTTCTTTGGAATGTAAGTGGTTCTTCTTGGGCGTTTGAATCTGAGTTATCTAGGGAATATCATCTTAGTGAATATTCGATTTAATGAGACAGCTGAAAGTGCCTGAAATATCCGGAAATCATCACTTGATCATTGGGGTCAATTTGAGCAGTGTTGCCAATTCAGTGTAGCGATGAGTAAGGCAACTCGTAGCAATAGTATATCTGGAATGGCTAATATTTTGGATGAAAGTATACTTGAAACAGTAATCAACAAACTGGCCCCAAAACTCACAGCTACAATAGAAGCTCAGTTAGAAAATCTGGGTAAGCAATTTGAGCAAATGGATAGCAAAATAAATAATATAGTTAACAAATTAGATGATTTGGATAAATTAGCTCACTTCAACCAACGAGCAGTAACAAAATTGAGTGAAAATGTCGATTTCCTGGAACAAAGGTCGAAAATGAACACGTTGAGAGTGGTGGGAATGAAAGAAGAGAACAATGAAAACCTGCAAGCTAGGGTTCTTCTTTCATTCAATGATGGTCTGGAAATCAAATGCACTCTGGATGACATCAACAATGTCTTCCGAATCAGAAAAGTCACTGAGAATATACATAAATCCAGACCTGTTATAGTGGATTTTGTCTCATATTTGAAACGCAACGAAATCTACAAAGGAAGATCTGCGTTGAAGGGAACAGAAATTTATCTGAACGAGGATTTGACTGAACAACGGTATCAACTTATGACATTGAGTAGGAAGAAATATGGAACACAAAATGTATGGTCCAGGAATCGAAGGATATACTTTAAAGTTGGCAACAGTGTGAAGATAATCAATAAAGAATTAGACATCTAAATGCATCTGAAAAAACGTGAACTGATAATGCTCTTTTTGTTCTACCCTAGTGTACTACTTATTATAGTTTTTATGAATTTTGGTTAAGCTATGCTCACACCTTCAGCATAATAATATCAATGTATTGTATGTAGGACTATGATGGGTATACATTTTCCTTTTATTTCTAAGAACTTTCAATCTGAATATATACTTAGCTGTTTGTTAGCAAATTATTTCAATTTTCATATAAATGTTATTTAATTCACAATATACAAATATTAGTTGTTTATCAGGGCTCATCAAAAGATAGACAGTACTATAATAACCAATCTCTCTATATATTACCAGAATTGTAGGGGCTTGGATACTGAATGTAGTGAATTGTACAGGAAGTCTCTTGAAAATGATTATGACATTATTATGATTACAGAAACATGGTTACAGAAAGGAATGAGAGATGGAGAGATAATAGATATAGGAAATTTTAATATGATAAGATCTGATAGAAATTTGCAGTACACGAATAAAAGCAGAGGTGTATTCCTTATAGCTATCAAAAGGAGATTTAAAATTCTCAACATTGTGAAACATGCATTAGCATTTGAAGCAGTAATCATTCAAGTCAAAATAAGTGAGCAAATATATTCTTTTATTGTTATTCATATTATTAGGAAAAGTGTTAAATCTGCTGATCGACTTCTAGGATTTGTATTTAAACAGACGGCCGGATTTTCTAATACGAACACGATTAAGTTACTGTATTATTCACTAGTAAGGCCTAAATTGGAGTTTGCTCCTATTATTTGGTTTGGGGAATATCAAATGTATATGTACGAAATGGAAAAAATTCACAATAAAATATTGTTAAGGTATCTATATTTCAAACAGCACCATGTATGGCCCAATTATAATACCATGAGAACATCACAGTTGAGATCCAATTTCAAGATACTATCTGTTAAGAAACTAGAATTTCCAAATAGAAATTGTACTCAGGAGAGATGGAATGGATTGTCGCTTTTGAGAAAAATAATAATCGAATAACTTATAAAACGAGCCTTTAAAATCTTACCTTTTTATTTTTCTGTCGCGATCATTGCTGGCCAGCACACACACGGGAATTATGAGGAAGCCGGAATCACAACACCTGTGACAACACCATTATTGTCTGTTTCACAAAAATTGTGGAATGTTTAATAGCGGACCACACTTGCTTTTCTTGCGTGGAGATCGTACCGAATTGTCTTATCTCCTCTCCCTAGTTTCACCACAGAGGGCGCGCTAAAGATTTCAAAGGCATTCTCGCGATAAATATGATACCAGGAGAGGTCCGAAAGTATGCTCGATTTTGGGTTGATTATTAATTAAATTATACTGAAACAAAATTGATTAAAACTATTAAACAAACACAACAAACACCTACGTGGGGACAAAACATGCCGCCCACCTAAAATACTCTGTATTTTAAGTTTCAAGAGGCAACGGACACAGTTTTGTCACGGGTCGCCTCAGCTCGCCATTAGCCGTTTTCACAGAGGCCACCCTCACCACACCATCGGTGCCTGGAAAAGTAGCAGTGACACGACCCATGTGCCACTTCAGGGGGGGAACATTGTCCACTTTAATGAGGACGAGAGTACCGACTTCCAATGGAATGGAGTCATTTACCCACTTGGTTTTCTGATGGAGAGTATGGAGGTATTCTTTGGACCACCGAACCCAAAAATCCTGGTGCATACGGCTGATAAGTTGCCATCTAGAGAGACGGTTGATAGGAATATCTCTCAGATCGTGATCAGGAGGAGAGGTCAAAGGGGCCAGAGAAAGAAAATGGCCCGGAGTGAGGGCCGTCAAGTCGTTGGGGTCATTGCTGAATGGTGTAAGGGGCCGAGAGTTCAAAATTGACTCGATCTGAGTGAACACAGTAAGCAACTCTTCGAACGTCAATACTTGGTCCCCAATAACTCGAATAAAATGAGACTTGACAGATTTCACCCCCGATTCCCATAAACCTCCGAAGTTGGGTGAAGAAGGGGGGTTGAAGTGCCAAACAATATTTTCTTGGGAAGCGGAGGAGGCAAACATCTCATTCAGCTGTCTATGTGCACTAACAAAGTTAGTACCACAATCACTATATAAGTGATCACAACGTCCTCTACGAGCAACGAAACGCCTAAGCGCGGCTAGGAAGGCATCAGCAGATAGATCTGAAACAGGTTCCAGGTGAACCGCCTTGGTTGCCATGCACACAAATATACATAGGTATGCCTTCAAGACTTTGGCACCCCTTGTACGAGACATAGTCATACGAAATGGTCCGGCAAAGTCTACTCCAGCATGCAGGAAACATTTCAACCTGGAAACACGAGCGATAGGAAGATCGCCCATTGGAGGCTGGCGAGGCTTGGGATTGGTCCTCCAGCAGGTGATGCACCGGGATAAGACTCGACGAATTGATTTTTTGAAATTTATAATCCAGAACTGCTGTGAGATTAAGAACTGAACGGTCTGAATGCCTGCATGAAAATACTTCACACGAGTGTTTTCTATCAAAAGATCTGTCAACCGACTTTTACTAGGAAGCAAAACTGGAAATTTCCGATCAAAAGATATCGGAGCGTTTCGTAACCTTCCGCCTACTCTAAGGACCCCAGTGTCATCTAGAAAAGGGGACAATCGGGACAGAAATTTGGGAAGCAGTTTATCGTTTGTTAAGAGCGATAATTCTTCAGAAAAGTATGAAATTTGAATGTGTTTGGCAAATATCAAAAGTGACTGATGTAGTTCCTGAGAACTGAGACATCCAGAGTATTTGCTCGAAGGATTGGATGAATTATGAGAAAATCTACGAATATATCCGACGATACGACAACTCACTGTGGGGGAGGCGTTCTTCATGAGAAGTGTATCTAATAAATGGGGTGATTGAACTGAAATGTTCAACGTGACCTTGCGTTCTTCCTCCAAAGCTTCCGGGAGAGGTTCAATATTCTCAGCATAATATCGTGAAGATGGACGGAGGAAGTCAGGTCCCGCCCACCATGATGAACATTGAAGAAACTCACCTGGCAGAAGACCCCTGGAACCGATATCTGCTGGATTCCCACTCGTTGGGACATAAAACCACTGGTCTCCAGGAACTCGTTCCTGAATGTATGCTACAGGGTTTCCCACAAAAGTTTTCAAGCTGTGCGGAGAACTTTTTATCCACCATAATGCAGTCATTGAGTCCGACCAACATGAAACTTTATCGAAAGAAAGAGACTCGGAATAAACCTTTCGTACGAAAGATACCAAACGAGCTGCAAGGACTGCTGCACAGAGCTCTAGACGAGGGACAGAGACCCGTCTCAGAGGGGCCACTTTTGATTTTCCACAAACGAAATTGATCGTGGCTGGACCTGATGAAGCAAAAAATACAATATAGGCGACGGCCGCGTAACCCCTTTCACTGGCATCTCCGAAACAATGAAGTTCACAGGACGTAAACTCCAATCCAAGCCAAACCTACGAGGAAGGGAAAAAGAAGATAATGCGGAAAGATCGGTGAGGTACTTCTGCCATACTCTGATGATCTCTGGAGGCGGTTCTTGATCCCAACCAAGTTTTAGTGTCCAAATCTGCTGAATGAGATGTTTCAGCAAAAAGGTCAGCGGGGACAAGAAGCCAAGTGGATCAAAAATTCTAGCAAGGTTAGATAGGATATTGCGCTTAGTACAACAAGTATCCAGTTCTTGAACAGAAAACTTGAACGAGTCGGCAGAGGGATTCCATTGGAGACCTAATACTTTGAGAGTAGCGTCAGAGGAGTCAAACGAGAGAGGATCTATACAGAGATGTGAGGAAGGTAAATCGTCTAATAACTTGGGTTCGTTACTAGACCACTTCCTCAACTCAAATCCACCCCTTTCAAGAAGCCCAATTAACTCCTTCCTCAAGGTCAAGCCTATGTCGAGAGAAGGTACCGAAACAACAATATCATCTACATAGGTGGAAGTCCGAAGAGCTTCAGCGGCCAATGGAAAAAAGTGCCCGTCTTCCTCAGCAAGGCGGAGCAGAGTGCGTAATGCCAAGAAGGGTGCAGAAGAGACTCCATAGACTACAGTGTTCAGAGCATAATCTTGAACAGGATCATGAGGCGAAAAACGCCATAAGATGCGCTGATAGTTTTTATGTTCGGGGGATATCCTTATCTGTCTGTACATCATTCGAATGTCAGCAGTTAGGACATGAGAATGAAGGCGGAATTTCAACAAAATTAATGCAATATCCTGCTGTAATTTTGGGCCGGTTAATAGACATTTAATGAAGACTGATGTGGAAGTTTCGCGGAAGCATTAGAGACGACTCGAAGTTTAGTGGATAAACTATCGGGCTTGAGTACCGGGTGATGAGGAATGTAATACTGATTACAACTAGGTGAATAAACTACAGGTTCCATGTGGCGAAGTTCCAAATATTCTCGCATAAAAGCCTTATATTGTTCATACAAATCTGATTGAAGAAGTAATCGTTTCTCCAAAGAAAGAAATCGTTGAAGGGCCAATTGACGCATGTCTGAAAAGAGAGGAGGTCTCTCTCGAAACGGTAGTTGAACAATGAAACGCCCTCTTTCGTCCCTGTGCGTAGTATCAATATAAATATTCTCACATAGCAGATTCTCGGCAGAAAGGCACTGAACTTCTGGAACGGATTCAAGTTCCCAGAACTTTTTCACATTTTCTTCTAGGTTAGATGGATTCGATATGCTGGAGAAAAGTGAAGTGGTTGGGGGAGCACGGGACATCGTACATTTTCCCATCAAAACAAATCCAAAAATCGTATTTATAGCATTAGGTTCGCCAGGGCCACCAGAAATTCGACCATCTAGAAGAATATTTGAGAATATATCGGCACCCAACAATAAATCTATGGGACCAGGGTTCGCAAAATTTGGGTCAGCCAACTTGAGATTGGCTGTATGCATCCAATTGTGGAAAGGCAACTTGGAATATGGCATATCATCACAAATTTTAGAT